AAATGCCACTAAAGTTTTTTTTGATAATCAGTGGCACACATAATAAGTGTCACTAGAAACGCTTCCACTAAAATCTTTTAGTGACACTTTTTGCTTTTGTCTTTGCAGGTTTTTATACTTTTAGTGGCACTTTTTTATTTGTCACAATAGAAGAAAAGTTTTTTATGGCACATATTGTGTGCCATTAAAAACTCATGTGATTTAAGAGTTCATGCTATTTTTAGTTACACATTTTAAGATTTTAGTGGCACTTTTATATTTGCCACAATACATAAAGATATTTTGTGGTACAATTTTCGTCGGTAAATACTGATGAGATTCTATATATTTAAAAGCTACTTATATCTACATAACCTTTATCTAAAATATAAAATAAAATAAATAATTAAATTGTAGTACATAAAAAATAATAAAACTCCAGTATTTTCATCAATATTGATAAAATTTTTGAATCTAAGAAAATGTCAAATACGGCTAAACATTTGAAAAAAAAGAACCATCTATAGATCATTGGGTACTTGAGGAGTCGCTTGCAATGGCTCGTAGGGAAGCCTGCATAATAAGAACATACAAAAAAAATATAACAATTATTGTTCTGCTTTCAAAATAATAGCAACATACTTTTAAAGTAGGTTGCTATGCTTTGAAAGTATAGCCACCTAAGCACAAAAAAATGAAAGTCATTTGATTTTTAAACTATACGCACTATTTTCATTTTTTCTTTTAGTTGTTGAGGGCACTGCCCTACTGCCAGCTGTACCTAATAGTCCTCACCATGACCTAATTAAGATATCAAAAATTATTATATCATGTACATGCTTTAGAAGAGTATGTTGTAAAATCCCAATGATTATTAGATTTGTTTTTTTAACTATGATAATTACTTCTATATATGATTAAATACAAATCTATGCAACACTGTTTCATTTTTTTCTTAAATTATGTAACAAAGTGGTTTTTTGTTTAAGAGATAAAACCACAACTAAATTTAAGATCAAAACATTCAATATTGCACCAGTAATCTTTATTCCATAATTTAGGAAAAAGGATCCACTTTTTGTTGCATAAATTAGGTAAAATTTTAACTTTGTTTCACAAGTTACGAAAAAAGTGAAACTTTTGTTGTATAAATTTTATATACAAACATGCAGTTCCTGTTGAAGAACCGGATGTGAAGGTATGAGGTGCTGCCTTTACAGCCTTTACAGATGAATAAGGACACCCTACATAAAAAATCAATAAAGAGTATTTTGGTCATTTAATATAATTTTCATTCCAATTAATTTGATAGATTTCCAAACCAATAGAAAACAACAAAAGAATGGAATTGAATTCCATTCCATTTCTTGCCAACCAAACGCATGACATATTTAGTTCTTCATATTTGAATTTCTTACATTTTCTAGCACATAGAACCTCATTTACAAAGATTTCAAATGCCTCATATTTAGGAGCATCAAAAGGGTCTAGACATTCACTACAATTTCATATCAAAACCCACAGTTAGAATATATAATATAGGATCTGTATTTTTTACTAGAAAATATGAAATTAAAAAAGGACAAAACATGTATTAAATGAAATACCTAAGCATTAATAAAAGGATACATACCTTTCAATTGCCTATGATTTGCTTAAATTGGATAACACCTGGAAAAACATATTCAAGATTTTGATGAGTATCCCTAAACCATTACATGTTTAGATCTTTAAGAAGTTAGGAAGTTTATAAAAACTGGACTTCCATAAAGAAAGCAAAGGACAAAAAAGTTATTTCATATATAAAAAAGGATGAAAAAGGAAACATACATCATGACAATGGTCCTCTGTCCATTTACTCTTCTAACCAAGTTGACGCGAGGTGAAAAAGGAACATCCGACTTTGACACTACAATCTCAATCTTCATAGGCTTCTCATCTAATTGTACATTGTTGTAATGTTTAAAAGCTTGAAATGCATTACTTCTTCTAGAAAACATCACTTCATATGTTCCCTAAATAAAACAACAAAAAGAATTAAAAAAAATATCTTTTTTATCAAAGAATTTGAGACTCTTTAGTTACACTTACATTTGGATCAACACTTTTGTCATATTGAATTGCATATCTATTCAACTCTCCAATCACATAAAACAGTTCTTGGGATAGGGCCCAAATCAATTGTTAACTTAATGAAAATATATAGAAACAAATTTGTGATAGTTGATAGTTTTTTTACCCTTATATCTTCATCAATGACTCCAATTTCTAAATTGGAGACATAATTTCGTAGTATTATCCATTCCTGGTAGACTTGCTGCTCTTAGGCTGTCTTCCAACAAATCACGTTGCCATGGCAATGGCTTGGGTCTGCGAAAATATTGATGCAAGCATACCGTACGTCAGCATTATAATACCATAATACAAAAATATATATATATATATATATATATATATATATATATATATATATATTCACCATTCTTCGTGAGCTAATCAATTATCATGATTCATGGTATCTAGAACTAATCCGAATCATTTTTTTTAAATAAAGATTGGATCTTGAGAATTTAATGATGTATCTTTAACACTTAACATAAATCAAAATACAGGTAAGGATAGTTGGGAGTTGAAGACTAAACCTACTCCTTAAAACATGTGAGATAATGTACAGGAGAAAGCTCCAGTCCTATAGTTCAGAGAATAAATCTCTTTTGTAGAAACTTCATGTAATTAGGAGTATGACAGTAGGATACTCCTCCCTCTATCAAGACTTTGACATTGAGTCTAAATATAGCCATTTTTTGGAGGATATAAAGTACTATATATATGAAACAATTGAACCATCAGTATACAGAAACTTCACAAAAGAGTCCCATGTATCATTCTACTCCAGTAGTGTTCATATAATAACAACTGGTAATACTAAAAGACCGATATTTAATTCCCGGGCTTATCTAGGCAAATAACTAAACCATATCCAAGGTTATTCAAAAATACAATGTTCACCATAACACTTATGACCAATAGCTAATACTTATAAGACGCTAAATTTAAACATAAATGCACTTGCAGATCAAAGATGTAATTTCATAGAAAAGGACCAATGATATAGATTCAATTCAGATATCCGACCCCAAACAAATCACAATTAGAACAACAACATCGATTTAATATGATACCTAATTTGCGTCTATGATGCTATATCTATAAATAAATCAATGCGTGAAAGAATCTAACCCGAATCACAACATATATGAAATAGATCTTTAAATTTAGGGTACAGAAACGACAAAGAATCACTTGCAGAAAACATATGCAGACATCAGGAAGAATTTAAGGCATAAGTTCTTCAGATTTGAACATACATGGGTTTGCCTCCGGTGAGAATTGAATTGAAATCCTTAGGGTTCGTAGCTACTTCCTTTCACAACTATTATGTTGAAATTGGAACTACATACGAGTTTAAAATTGGCAGAAATTACTAGATCAATGGAGGTGAGTTTAAAATTGGCAGAAATTACCAGATCAATGGATCGTACATCCGAGTGTTATGTGTGTATGTTGGGAGAATTCGAAGCTAGGAGCAAAAGATGAAAAAATAATGTCGAGACTAGCAACGGTGAACAAATGTGACGGCGACGATGGATGCACGCGACGTCGGCGGTGAAGCAATCGACGATGACACATATGCAGCAGCAGTGACGATGGTGACGCTGGAGCAGGGGCGATGACGTTAGCTGAAGATTCGGTTGAACTGATTGTTTGAACTTCGAATCATCGCTTGGGATCAAGCGATCGGTTTTAAGAGTGGGAAGGGGTAAAAGTGTAAAAACAAAGGAAAAAGTAAAATTGTAATTTACTCTTATTTTTTTATAATAATCTAATTATATAATACTTTTAATAAAATAAAATATGATATATTAATATATTATGTCACTAATAATTATAAATATTAGTGAGATAAAATGGGAAGTGCCATTAAATCCATTAATTTTTATGATGGCACATAGAATATGCCACTAAAAACATGGTATAGTGGCACATTAAATATATGTCATTAAAAATATATGCCATTAAATGACATTTTGTTTGTAGTGGACTCATGTCCTTAAAGGTTTTTACTTCGCTTCTATCGGTTGTAAGCAACAGAGTAAAACTCCAGGACTTAATGCAGATTACCGAGTTTCCAACAGCAATGGAGAACGATAAACGCAAAGTGAATACTGAGAAACTGGGAAGAAATCGCCAAGAATACTGAGAGGGATTTGAATTTCGTGTGTCAAGTACGACTCAGGGAGTTGTATTTATACGTGTCGAAACCCTAGAAGGCAATAAAAGGGACCCTTATGGGCCGGCCCCCTAGAACCCTAGGGCGACGACTTGCTCTCCAAGCAAGTCATTTTCTAAGCCTTTTAGAACATTTTGTTGCCTTATTCACGAAGTCAATGTTGGTCAAACGTTTGACTGGATTGGTCAAACCGACTTGACCCGAACTCGTCAAAAATAAAAGCTCCTCAGCTCCCAGCAACCGATGCGTCGTGCCAAGTGCGCCTAAATCACGCCATTTTGCGCATTGTGGCATCGTCTAGGCTAGGCTAGGCGCGCGCGTGGGCTTGGCCTATTCATTTGATCCACTAAAGCTTTTGAAGGCCTATCAAGGGAAAAACCTTATAAACCCACTAAATGTTTCTTCCCCCACCAATATGGGATAGAGGAAACTTGTCAACTTGCAATATTTCCTCTATAATTTCCAACAATCCCCCACCAAGTTGGAAAGTTTCCTTTCACTCAGATGCATGATGTCACTTGGGTGTCACGAAGATTAAACCCTAATTTAATGAGAACAAACAAGAAGAGAACAATTTAATGGTATCCTTATAGGTTTAAACCATGAACCTTGTGACCTCTCCGGTTTACCCCCACACATCAGATGTCGTCTTTGCGTTCTCCCTGAGCGCTAATATGGTCATGCGCTATAAATCCTTTAATAACCCTTTAGAAGATAAACCACTAATCTTCACTTGAGGCGATACCACCTCTAGATCATATAGGCAAAGTTTCACAACATCTTCGTTGCTTATATGTCTCCAAAACTTTTTTAAGAGCCTTGACTCAACCTCGTTCTCGGTAACGACATACTATCCTACCTCACATGGATCTATCATTAATGATAGTACCTTCTATCATTAGTGACTTTGTTGTTACCCTTTAAACTTGAGAATTAGAAGCATTAATGCCAAGTTAGGTTTCCATCACTAAGAAATTCTACTGTGGTTTTAGACCCATGACTCTCGTGGTAGATCTAACCAAATCCCTAGTTAGAGGTTTGGTAAATGGATCTGCCAAGTTCCTACTTGTCTTGACATAGACAACCTTAATGGTACCACTTTCAGTTAGTTGTCTCACAAAATTGTGTCTCAGACCTACATGTCTCGACTTCCCATTATATACCGCATTATATACTTTAGACAGTGTGGCCTCACTATCACAGTACATGGGTATAGAAGGCAATGGAATATCCTACAGAGGGATATTGTAACGCCCTATATTTCAACCCAAATTTTTTCAATTAAAACTTTAAGTGTTTATTCAAATCACAACTACAATATCTTAAAAAATTTATCAGAGTATCATTTAAAATTTATCATGTACACAAGTCCGCATTGATGCGATGCTATCGAGCTGTGCCCCTCATTTATTATAAAAAAAAACCTGAAACATTTAAACCACTAATCGTAAGCACAAAGCTTAGTGAGTTTCCCAAAATACCACATACAACACATCACAAATAAACAGCTATGGGTTATCAACAACCCTAGGGACTATCAGCAGTCCTAGTGGGCTAACAAGACGCCCGGTAGGTTATTAGCAACCCTGGAGACTATCAGCAGTCTCAGTTACATATAAACAGCATAACACAATAATAACAGCTAGACCCGGCTGGTCATCACATATACTGCTATTCTACCACTCAGGCTCATAGAAACATGCAAGAGTCACAAAGACAGCTAGCATCCTACATACATAATGTAGTGAGCCGGCATTGGTGCCTTTGACTCATGAGCACCGGGAGAAGACTCACCTCAAACAGCTGTAACAACCAGATAAATTCTCGAACTGCCGATCCGGGAAACCTCCGCACTAAATATCATCAAAATAATATCCTAATTAATAATCAGGACATAAACGGCAAATCAGTCCCTGCCCAAAGTCACCCAAAAGCCTCGAGTGGCCCAAAATCCCAAATGGTGCCCAAATCCCATTATGGGTCCAAACCCCTAATAGTCCAAAAATGGCCCAAAACTCTGAAGTCAACAAAAGTCAACAGTCTTGGTCTGTACACGGAGGGTACAACTCTTACGCGGGGCGTACTACTCGAACCAACGTGATCGGGAGTCGTTCCTGACTACGCAGGGCGTAGCCATGAGTACACCCAGCATACACGGTCTGACCCTAAACTCCCAAATAAAATGTCTTATTCCTTTAAGACACCTATTCCAACCTCGGATTTGGCCTCTAAAGAATGTCTTAATCCATAAAGTCTCTGACTTTAAGCCTTACTCTCTAGTATGCCCAACGTGTGTTGCCTCTGTCCCAACTCAAAGCCTTACTTAAACGGATGAAACCCTAAAAAATAGGGTTTGGCATCTCTTACTTCGTCTTTCCTTTAAGTTATCCGTTTAAGTAAGGCTTTGAGTTAGGGTCAAATTTGGTGCTTTTTGATCCCTAAATAGGGATGAAACCCTAAAAAATAGGGTTTGGCATCTGCTTGCGTAAGCCCGACGTACTCTCTAGTACGCCCAATATACGTTGCCTCTGTCCCAACTCATTTAACGGCTTACGCCCAGCGTACGCGGCTTAGCCCAAAATCCTCAAAATTCAACCTGTCATAACTTCTTCGTTTCAACTCTTATTTCGACAATCTTTATATCCATGGAAAGGTATTGAGAAGCTCTACAACACTATCTAATTACTTTTTCCTCAAAACACATCGAATTAAATTCCACAATTTATAAAAGAAGTCTGAAACACTACTTTCCCATTTTACCCTTTGACTCCAAAGCACAAACCGAACTCTTAGATCACACAAACTACATTACCCACATCCAAATGGGTCTAAACCTCTCGTTACCAAAGCCCGAAGCCTTATGATACTTGATCTTCGGGTCACGGCCCGAATTATGAAACGACACGAAACAGTGTGTTACAACTCTCCCCCACTCAAATTAGATTTCGTCCTCAAAATCATTCCTTACTATCTCTTCTGTCGAACCAAACGATCCTGACTGAACTCCCTGAATTACGAAGATGACTGGGAAAGTCACCTCACTCTGATATCCATCTACTCTTACATTACTTCCACAACCACACACAAACCTGGTGAATGTTAC